CTCGATGTGCGTCCACTCCGAGCCCGGCTGCAGTTGTCATACTTCAGCTGGGCTTGGCGTCCGAAAAACCGTACACCCTTTTCTGATAGCTCCGTAACCCTTGTTGGATTCAACCACCACGAATCCCTTCCACGGTCACGATCGCAGGAGAGATCCCCCGGGAGCTGGCGGCACTCGCCGATTTGCAGCAACTAAATATTGCGATCGGTCAGCTGCGAGGTGAGAGGGAGAGAGCGGTTTTGTTTCTTAGGCAAGTAGATTGGAAGTGATATACATGTAGCTGCTGCTGACCCACGCTTTGTGGGTGCATCCGGTCATGACCATGTGCGGGGATTGTTGCACGGCACGGTGGGGTGTAGCAACCAAATCTGGAAGCACTGAGGTCCGAGCTGAGAGGGGCAAACAATATTTGGAGGCCCTATCGTCAGCAGTTTCGGAGTAACTTTCGCTCTCCGGGTTTCGTGTGCATGAGTTTTTCGAGTTTTGCCGGGAAGCGACGGCAGGATGAAGGCTGCTTTTCGCTGTAACTTGTCGCGTCCTGTTGAAGCCCTCGCGAAAATCCCTCCAATCTGCAGCCCTTTGCTCAGAACATTGCCCTGAAGAAGTAGAGGGAGGGCGAGTGCATGTAGTTCTCCTCCGCTCATATGCCGAACATGTACTTCCTCGTTTGCCGTTTTTGCGCTTCGCCCGATGCGACCTGCTCTGCAACAGGGTTGGAGGACGAAGAGAGACTTGGGCAGCTATTCCCGACCTGCGAAATATCAGTTTCGAGCTGGACGAACGAGTGGGGATAGATAGAGAGGATCGCAAAAGCGGCAGCTGGGAAAATCTTGTGCATGGACCAATTTTTGTGCTTGGCTGGGAAACGGCTGCCATGTATTTCAGCGTATGTTCTTTTGTTTTGTTTTTGTGAATCTACAGAAATCAAGGCCAGAAGCACGTAGGATGCCAGAAGCTGTTTCCAGGAGGAACAATCCCTCACTGAGCGTCGGGTGGTGGCGGCTGTGTCCTTTGTATTGTAGGTATGTTTATTGCCGGCCCAACTTCCGGGCATTTGCTGCCAACTACTGTAGCATACACGTAGAACCTTGCGGTGACCTGAAGGAAATCTTCGTAGAGGTGGGGGGGGTTCAGGGAGATGAAAACTTCTGTGTGGCCTACGGTCTCCCAGAGATAACTGGGACAAAAAGCAGGCGTTAATTCATTAGGATGAGCAAAAAATAGGTGGGCTGAACTGCAGCGGATTTTTGGTTGCTGGCTGACAAGCAACCAATTCTCGGCGGTAGAGGTTTACGAGTTTCCTTGTTTTTATTCGCGGTTAGCTTCGGGGTGACGGAAGTGACGACTATGTTGATGTAGGCTGGCATATAGTTGCGGCGTTGATGTCGTCGAAATGTGTGCTGCTTGGCGCATGTTGGACATGCAATGATGATAAGCGCAAGCTGACTCACGCATCGAATAGACAGAGAGACGAATCCGTCACTTGTCACGGCGTTTCGTCGATGATGGCACGCGGCAGCTTTCCGCGGAAACGCGCATTTGTCATCGCGGTTTTTACTGCGGACCCGTGGAGGGCTGCTTGACGATGGAAGTGAGACTGGTTCCGGAGCTGCGGCACATAGCAACGTCCCGGTTGGATAAATCACCTGCGTCTGTCACAACTATGCGCTGAGACAACCCATTCCGTTCTTTCCGAAACCCCACCGTGCTTTGGGTGTATCACCAAAGCGAGCAGTGGGGTGCGAGATCCGTTTGCTGTTGTGAGGTGGGTTTCAGTGCCCTGGGCGCCTTTCACCCTGAATTCGATTGTCAGTGTACGACCTGTGCTTGACTCTCGCGGAGAACAAATTCACACGTTCACGGGAAATAGTGCGTTGGGTGGCTCAGTACGCCCAACAAATACTCAACTGTTGGAAGTTGGGGAGAAGCTGGCTCTACACACTGCGCTGAAGTGAATGACGGGAGTCTGGTTCGGTGCAGCTGTGTACTTGTGATAGTTGTCGAATTTCCTAACCCTATCGCTAGTGCTTAGATGTGAATAGCGTAGGTTACATATGTATGCGTCGTTCCCGTGAGCGATCAATCGTCCATCAGCTTGGCACACGAGCGTCGCTGGACAACATCGCAAACACAAAAGACACCCGGCGACCCTGGAGGCCTTTTGCTAACGTTGTTGATTCGCTTGAGAGGATCGTGTTTGTGCTCTAGAATCGATCCAAGTGGCCCACTAGGTGAGGGACAGTGCGTGCCACCGTACGTTGAACCGCACAAGAATAGTATGTTTCCTTCTCCTTAGGTAGGTCATGGTCCATAAACCCTTTCCGCCCCGCACCTTTGAAGTTTTCTTTTGGTGTGAGGGTAAGTGTGCACGATTCATGTCCAAGAGGAGTGGATGCCGTATGTTTTATGGTGGTCTAGGAATAACCAGTGCGTGTGACGCTTCATTCCAGCTGTCGGGTTTGATCGCTAAACCGCTCTACAGCCAGAATATAATGAGTCCAAACGACTCAAAACAGTCCAGGAAGGCCGTCCTGTTGCTGAGAGCAAGACGACCAATACTAGGAGCGCAAACCATACGAATTCCGTACACACTAGGCCTACTCCCTGCGTCTTTTCTTCACTTCCCCCTTCCCCCCCTTCCCTTGCCCCTGCCACCCCCCTCCCTGGCATTTTTCCTCTGAATCTTGTTAAGCGTGCGACCCTTGAGCTCGTCCCTGGTCAACGGGCGAGCATCGTCGTCATCGCTCCCACTTTCCTCTGAGGAGGAGAAGTCCTCAAGCTTTGGAGGGTTCACGTGGATCAATTCCTAGGGGTTTTGCCAAGAGCGTGCACGGCCAAAGGGGGGGGGCGGGTAGAGGGTTGTCGTTGGTAGTCGGGCATACAGGGTGTGGTTGAGGTATCGGGGGAGGCTTGGTGGCGGTGATGTAACGTCCATGGATAACCCTCTTCCCAACTGCTGGGGTAGCTTAGACGTCCCAATTCCGACCGCATGAAGACAAGTGGTTCGTGTCTAGCCGCTTTGTTTGGCCTTGCCCTCGTGGCAACAATAAAAAATCCCATATTCAACACCCCCGCCCGGAAGTCTCACTTGACGCATGGGCGTCTGAGGGCCATGCCCCAAGACCGTCGCCACCGCGGCCCCTCCACCCCCGTTCCCGCCGCCCACCGCCAATGCCCTCCCCATACCCAGATCGTCCTCTCCTCCACCGTGCTCGCTTCCGCTGGTCATCAAGGCGGCCGCGGCGTTTGCTCTGACTTTCTCTCTCTCTTTTGCGCGGGCGAACGCCTGCGGAAGCACCCAGTTGGAGGGATCAGGGGTGAAGGCTCGTTGTTCAAAGATGATATTCGTCACCCCATTTATGAGCGTTGGTTTTGCAGTTACGTACGGCCTTGTCTCTCTAACCGAGGAGCCTCGGTTCGGGGTTGCACACACGCTTTTTAAGCCTCCCGGGTCTTCGTGACGCGAGAGTACACAGTTGAGAGTGTTCCTCGAGCCTTTCCGGTGGTTTGTCTACACGTGCAGAGCAGGAAGGAGAGGATACAAGGATCAAGAGCGGCGCCATCGGCACACCTGCAAGAGACTGTTGGTCTTCTCTTCGATCATCCCCAGGAAGGTCATCATGTTGGAGTCGGTCACGCTGCCGCCGCTCACCGTCTCCGGCAAAGCCTCGCCCCCGAACACGCGGCCGAACAGGTTCTGCACTCCGTCCTGTTGTGGTGAATCGGATGGAGGGTTGCAGTACCGCAGATTTTGCTCAGAGATTAGCGGAAGAACGCGCTGCCCACCCGCCCTCGAGCGCCGGAGAGAAGCACTCTGTCACTTCGTGGTTTTGGTCAACCTTTCTCGTGCCAAGTGACGAGAGGGGAGGGCAGTCGCGAGACTTGACGCTGTTCCTGAGAGTACATGTAACCGTTGTGTACAGTACTGTAGTTCTTTGTGAAAAGTCTGTAGATATCTGGGTGGCGAGCAAATGTGAACACAATGTAAACGCGAGTCCTACCAAACAACTGACCAAGTCATATCACCCGGAAGGACGATAGAGTCAATGGCATGGTCGACGGCTTGCATCATTACCCAAAGCTGGATTATCGCGATATGTGTGAACTTGGTACCAGATTTCTGTGGCAAAAAGGGTAGTGTGGCTCATCCTCCTCTCACACCTTTCCTCTGATCTGTATGTGGTAGTGCACCGCTGGGTTGAGCAGGTTCCTTTTACGGCGAGAGGCAGCTATTTTATACTACCACAAAGGCCCATCATTTTTATTGTTTGTCCTCACCTTGAGGGCGTCTATTGTCAGGCTTGCCTCCGAACAGCGCACCTCGTACTTTTCGGAAGCAGCTTCCGTGTGCTATGAAACGGTTTGCGACCCCAAAGGCGAAATGAAAGCACACGACATGGTAGTGCGCGAGGGACACAGCAAGGCTAAGAGAAAGTTCTTCAAATATTGTAACATGTACGTCAGAATCACGTTGCAAGCGACCCCCTGCCAAACTTTGCCCGGTCCATGCTGGCAGACTCAAGCATCTGAACACAAACGAAAGATGGCATTGGCATCGTTTTCACTCACGACGGAACAGGGGTAGGAAAACTCGCCGCTATACATTGCCAAACTTGAGAACTTAGAACAATGGGCTTAGAGTCACACCTGGCCGAACACTCGACGAACGTAGGCTTATTACCCCTTACCGCAACACGTAATTTGAAACAAACTGCGGGGAATTGCCACGATGCTCCTGGCTGCAGTCACTTTAACACGGCTGAAATATAGCTGATTGACGATGGACCCAAGCATTGCGGTCGAAAACAACTTGTGACCATCTAAGGAAATATCGAGAAAACACATCGTTCGTGTCGGCCTCATTCTCGTCGTCACAAACATCCGTCCACACGACGTCTGAGCGCGGTACTACCCTATTTCGTGCCTTACCACCAGCTTTGCCTCCAGGTCCTTGAGCGCCTGCTTGTGCTGGTGGACGTCGCTGCCAGATTCCTGTGCAGCATCACACGCCACCGACGGAGTCGACCGTCAATGGCATTCCTAGCAACCAATCCTTCCTCAACTTGTTCCTGGTTGTTCCGTCACACATGTACAAAATCTCCGGTCTGTCCGCAGAGGTGCGGACGATGGAATGCACCGCGCATCCTCCAGCTTGGCTATTTCTGCTTGAAACTGCCATGATGGGGGGCCCCTCATGACCGGCCCGGCTTGTGCTGGGCATCTGTGAGACTACCATGTGCATATGATACTTCCGCCGACGTAGCGACCGAAAACCACACAGGTCGAATGAGGGAGCCCTCCGAGCGTAGTGGTACTACGTTACGAATACGGCAGCGGAATGGTTGTTGTATAATTCGCCTACATACCTGGGTGAACTTCTGTTCCTCCTCTTGGAGCTGGTGCAGCTGCTCCTCCAGCTTCTCCACCTCGTTCTGCTGCTCGTTCACATAGTTAAAGAGGGAGAAATTCTGATCCTCGTTCTTCACAAACGTTCGAACCTGTGGCCGGAGCGCAGGGATCGGGCGGCGCGTGCGCGGGGGGGGTAAGCTACAGCAGCTTGTTTGAGTTCCAAACTTGACGGAGCAGGCGGGGATGAATCGACTGCCCATTGGTTTAGCTATATTCTGCTATAGACTTGTGTTGTTGTGCGAAACTTGAGCGCCAACGCCCAGGCTTTCCGTGAGTGGCCTTCCTGACGCTAGAAGTACTTCTCCACGCCAGCTACGGTGCAACGCGTTTTGATTTTCCTCAATGGAGGCAGCAAACCGCGCACGCGTTGGCAAGCACCGCTCTTCGGTAAATCTCACTCTCACCAGCTCTTCTATGTCCTCTATTCCGGTGGCAGATTTGATCCTCGCAAACGCCTCCTCGAAGTTTTGTATCCGCTCCAGGGATGCCTGCGCGTCGGTCTTGTTGGCTAATACCGCTCCGCTTGTCTGCGTTTGGGCGTTTCCAGTTCGGGGCGGGGGCACGGTTTTCCGATGCATGAGGTTGGGGCTTGAACCAGACATATGGTGTACATACAGAAGTCATGTGCTGTCACCGTTTGTACAACAATACAAGGCACGGTTGTGTCTGTGGACCAGCGCCAACGTCTGCGTTTGTGTGTTTCCAGTTCGGGAAAGCGTGTGGGTTTCTGATGCTTGAGGTTGAGGCGTGAACAAGACGGGGTTAACGTTCCCGTTGCCGCTACGGCGCACGGAAGTCTTGCGCTGCCATCGTTTGTACTAGAAGGCAATACTGTGGCGGTGAACGAGCGTTTGTTTACGCTTTGGGGAGCGGACTTGTGAAGAAATGTCAAAATGATTGAAAAGGTCTGTTACTTTGGTCGATGGTCCTCTTGGAACTTTTCATCCTCGAGCCCGATAGCACACAAACCATGTGGGCGCTTTTTCAAGTTCCAACCAGGTTCCCGAATCGAATGATCAAGACGTGCGTTTTGGCACACTGCAATAGCTTGATCACTGCCGTCG